AGCAGGGGCTACTCTTCGTTGTGGTGCATGGGCTTCTCATGTTGTGGAGCACGGGTTCGAGGCGCGTGGGCTTCAGTAGTTGTGGCATGCGGGCTCAGTAGTTATGGCACATGGGCTTAGTTGCTCCACGGCATGTAGGATCTTCCCAGCCCAGGGATTGAACCCGTGTCCCCTGCATTGGCAGGCGAATTCTTAACCACTGTGCCACCAGGGAAGTCCCTCACACAGAAAACTTTTATTAAAGCATTTCAAAATACAACTTTCCAATATATAAAAGTCTAAACAACTGTCCCTTCCCAACCCTCCCCTGCCAATGACCCAAGCCAAAGCACTGTCACGAGAATTTGTCATCACAAATTCTTATGCCTATGCTTGGTGCAAGGCAGTCCTTGTTTGTCAGCAGCTGTCTAGGATATCACAGGCCTAAGAATTAAAATATGCCCAGACCTGAAAGTCTCTGCACTATGAGCACTTTAATAGGACTGCAATTATGACCTCTAGGCAAGAGATGCTGGTGTTGTATGGACACCAAGGGGGGAAAGCAGGAGTGGGGAGGTGGGATGAATTGGGAGATTGAGATTGACGTATATACACTAATATGTATAAAAGAGATAACTAATAAGAACCTGCTGTATCGCCCAGGGGACTCTACTTCACTTCGCTGTATGGTAGAAACTAACACAACGTTGTAAAACAACCATCCCCCCCCCCCAAAAAAAAGATGCTGGTGTTTAGAAGCAGGGTACGGGTGGTGGAGGTGGAGAGAAGCGGGCGGATTTGGGATTTGGGTGGGAACATTAACAGCTGATGGAATGAATATGGGCATGAGAGAAGGTTCTGGCCTGAGCGCCTTGGGTGGACGGTGATGCCATTTACGGAGATGGGATGACTGGAGGACAAGGACGGAGGGTGGGGATGGACATAGAAACCTCCATTCTGGACGGGCCCAATTTGAGGGTCTGAGAGCCATCCAAGCAGCTTGGTCCAGTAGACGGTTGTATATGCCAGCATGATGGAGAAGTACCAGTGTCAGGCCGGGGTCTCAGATCAGCCAGGTCAGATCCTGGCTCGCCGCGTACCAGCCCTGTGACTTGGACAGTTTCCTCATCTCTGGAACGGGGCTCCCAATATCACCTACATTGTGGGCTTGTTGTACTGATCGTATGAGTTAATACGTGGGAAGAGCTTAGATTTCAATAGTCAGTATTCAATAAGTGTTGGATTCCTATAATAACAATTATCATCATCATCATCATCATCTTAGCGACAGTAATTTCTTGCCATTTCTCTCTTTCTAATTAAAATCAAGGACCTTTGTAGCTGGTAAACACTTCTCCTGCTGTTCCAGGAATTATCGCTTTACCAGTCTGGGAGCTCCGTGAACACGGGGTAGGGTCTGTGTCTCTCCTCCATAACCTCCCCTCCTGGTGCCCACACGCAGGATGTGCCGCAGTAACCCTCATCCAGTCACATGGAATTTAGCGTGATTCCGGAAAAGATGCTTATTTGAGAGAATCAATCAGGCATTGAAGAGAGCAGAAGGGGCTTGGACACAGACGGGAGAGAGGAAACTGCAAATTCAGTGACGGTGACGATTCACAGCATCTTTGCTCCCCAAGAAGGAGGCTCTTGATTTCACAGAGCAACCTCTTCCAGAATTAGTTAGTGGTCTGTTAGAAGAAAGGTTTCCCTTCCAATTAGTCAAATCAGATACCTCCCCAAGATTTGCACACACACACCCCCATCAAGGCTCCAGACACCTCGGTGTGACACCTGCAGGCCCCCGTCTCTCCCTCTCCGGAAGCCTCTGTGATGTGTGCCCCAGGATCTCACCCTGTTGCTCTCACCTTCTTCTCTCTGTTGTGTTCATTTTGCCTGAAGCATCTGCCTTAACCAGTTTCGGGGGAACATGGGTCCCTTAGATGCAGCCCACTGCCACACCAGGCACCTCCCCTCTTCCCCTGGAGATGGGTGCTGTCTACATTCAGTGAGATCCATGATCTCACCGTGTGCTCTTTTCAAATCATGGCACGTGGCTCTGCCCTTTCCCAGATTTATTTTTTTAAGTTAAATTTCAATTTCAGATAAACAGTGAATAATGTTCTAGTATAAGTTTGTGTCACTCAGTATTTGCTAAAGTATATTTATTTGCTAAATCTGGCCACCGTAGCTGTAAGAATCCCAAGTCCAAATTCCCATGAACTGGACCAAGAAGCCCTAGGGCACAGCCCCATTATGTGTCCTTAGAAGTTCACATCTTGGGTGCTGATGCCATGGTCTAAAGCCAGACCCGGAGTCTTCAGCCCTCCCCTACCCACACCTGGAGAGCTCTCAGGCTTCCTCGGAGAGTCTTCCAACTGAGGTAGTCTTGGCTCCCCGACCTAACATGAAAAGGTCTAATCCTGGAGTCCAGGGTCCAGGTCCAAGTCTCCTAAATACCTTTCTTAGTTCCTCCCAGGGCTGTCATACAAACAAGCCCTCGGATGGCCTGGCCTGACACGCAGTTCCTGAAGCACGTATGCAGATTAGACCCCACGTCAACACCAAGCTTCCTCTTTCTCTGGATTCCACCGTCACTGCATCAGCGCCCTCTGGTCCTCTAAGAGCCCTAACATCTCCTGTGACTGTGTTCCTATTTCCGGACAGCCTTCCTCCAAGGCTCCTTTGCCAGCTGAGATGATTGATAGGTCAGGAACCCAGTGAAGAGTCACGGGCACACCCATCCCACGTGATTCCTAAGGTTCCCTCTGTTCTTCATCCCTCAGGTCCTCTGCCCCAGATCCTAGCCGTTCTGAGGAGCCTTAGTGCCATAAACTTTCAGAACAACAGTCCGTCTCATTTCCTTCAAGGATTAACAAGAAGCTAGTTCCCTGGCAAAGTTAACCCTTCCTCACACCAGAAAGTGGGTTATTTAGAGGCAGGAGTGGAACCAGGAATTCTGGAGCCCTGGCTCCTTTCCTGGGTATCCATGCCCAGCATTAGCAAAGAGCAGGAATATGAAGGGGTCCGGGACAGCACAGACTCCTGATGATGCAGGGCGTGTAGCTCACCAGCCTGAGGACAAGGGCCATCGCCTGAGAAATGGGCACCTGCTCGTAGAAAAATGGAATCTTCGTCCTCTGCTCCGTCCCAGCACCCACTACCTTCACTCAGCCCCTTGTCACTTCACACTTGGGCAGTGACTTCTTTCTGTTTGGCTGTTTCTTTTAGCACTAACATCTCCCCACCTCTAGGGTCAGCTCCCCTCAAATCCATCCTCCACGGTCTCCCAGAGTTGGCCATCCAACCGTATCACTCCCCTGCCTGCTTAGAAACCTTCAGTGGCTCTTACGGATAAAGTCTTAGGATTAAGTAAAGTTCCCCACCCTCAGCTTCTGGCCCTCTGCCTGGAAGTTTATGCCCCAGAAACACTAAAACTTCCATAGTTAGCTCTCAGAGCCCGCCACGTCTCGTGTCCATACCTTTGCTCATGCAAGCCCTGCTCCAAGTTCTCCTACCCTCTGTCCCTCTCTCTCCTTATTTAAGACACAGTTCAGTCTGTCATACAGAGTGAAGTAAGTCAGAAAGAGAAAAACAAATACCGTATGCTAATGCACATATATGGAATCTAAAAAAGACGGTACTGATGAACCTAGTGGCGAGGCAGGAATAAAGACGGAGACGTAGAGAACGGACTTGAGGACACAGGTGGGGGAAGGGGAAGCTGGAATGAAGTGAGAGAGTAGCATGGACATATATACACTACCAAATGTAAAATAGATAGCTAGTGGGAAGCAGCCGCATAGCACAGAGAGATCAGCTCTGTGCTTTGTGACTACCTACAGGGGTGAAATAGGGAGGGTGGGAGGGAGATGCAACAGGGAGGAGATATGGGGATATATGTAAAGCTGATTCACTTTGTTATAAAGCAGAAACTAACACACCATTGTAAAGCAATTATACTCCAATAAAGATATATATTTTAAAAAAGCCAAAGCTCAGGGGTCACCTTCCCCAGGAAGCCTTGCTGGATCCCCTAGGCTCTGTTTGGTGTGTGTCTCTGAACACCTCAATCACTGCAATTGCCACATGGCATTATGGTTGCCAGGGCCTGTGCCCTCTCCCCTTCCAGGCATTGTGCGCCTCTTGCAAACAGGTGCTCAGTAAATGCTTGGTGATTTGATTTGACAATTCACCATAAGAAGGAAGTAACATCCTTTGCAAGTGTAGTTTGTATCCCCTTCTTGAATTCCTTGATTCTCCTCCCCACCCTTCCCTAACCTGGCTCACTTCGCCCAACTGGCTCGGTTAGTTTCCAAAGCATCTCACCACTAGTACTCTTATTTCATCTTGCCAGGTCTCCGCCCTGCTTCCACTTTGAAAGTAGAGACTCCAGCCATTCTGTGTTCACTCGGCTAACGTTTTTAACACCTCCACGTGCTGGGTACTGTCTGGACTGTGATGCAGAGACTTGCTGGACAAGGTCCCTGCTCTCAGAAGTCCCCAGCCTGGAGGGGAAGTCAGACAAGGAAAGAGGCAAATAGTAGTATATGCTGTGATGGGGGGACGGGGGGACACAGTATATACCCAGGTCAGCTCTCCACAGACTGCCTTGGGCTCCCATCCCAGCTCACTGCTTTTTGCTGTGTGGCCTTGGGCAAGTCCCTTATCTGTGTCTGTTTCCCATGGTTAAAAGAGAGGGTAATGATAGTACTTACCTCTTAGGGTTATGTGGGGAGTAAACGAATTAACTCATGTAAAGAGTTTAACCATAGTGAACAGTCAGTAAATATTAGCCATTATTATTCTTAGGTCAATATGCTGTGGGAGCAGAGGAGAGATAAGACAGATAAGCTGCAGTTATAAAGGACAAGGATCAAGAGATATCCACATTCTAACTGGAGCCCAGAAACAAGCAATTGACATGAAAAGCAAATGGAAAGTCTCCTTGGTGCTTCCTAACTCGAGAGCCAGTCCTGGCGAAGCTGCTGCACACACCTGACCATCTCTCCCTTCCTTAGGGCTGACGACTGCTTTTGCGCTTCTCGGAAGCTGGACGCAGTGGCCATCGAAGCCAAGTTTAAGCAGGACCTGGGTTTCCGGATGCTGAACTGTGGGCGGACGGACCTGGTGAAGCAGGCAGTGTCTCTCCTGGGGCCCGATGGGATCAACACCATGAGCGAACAGGTACAGGGTCCTCGGAGTGTCTGAACAGGCACCCCACCTCCACCATGTGCCCTGCCCCAGGGCAGGATGGAAACAGCAGGCACTGAACAGAGGCTCCCCCTTCTGGTGACGTAGGGTGATTGTGTTGTTGTTGTTGTTTTCTTTTTTTTTTTAAGTTTTTAAAATAGCTTATAAAAATATCCTTGTTCATCTGTACAGAAGTTGCACGTGATCCTTGCAGCTGAAATGGAAAATAGAGAAAAATAGACCTATTCCAGAAAGGAAATCATACCATCATCATCCACCATCATTTATATTTAGCTTGTGTCCTTCAAGCCCTTTTTCCAGCATAGTTAAAATTAGTTCCCTGCATCACAGAACAAATCCAAGCAGATTTTCACCAAACTTTCAGGGTGTGTTTAAGATACACAAAAGTCATTCTGAGGGACCCTAGGAGACACCTCAGAGACAGGCAGCCATCCCCCAAACCACTGACACAGGTACAGTGAGAGGCTTGTGTATCTATCAGGGAGACACCCCGGGTGGGTGAAGATGTCACGGATGGAGAAAACAAACAGCAGCTTTCAATGTGAGCCCCAGATGGAAAGTCACAAAGGACAAATGGAACTGCTTCTCACATGGGCAGCTCATGCAGCAAGTTCCAGGGAAGGGATAACAGCTAATAATTTTCTTGAGCAACACAAAGGAGCCGTAATACACACACACACACACATACACACACACACACACACACACACACATTATTTTTTAAGAACAAGGATTTATTATCTTTCTGGTTTTGGTATTTTGTATTAAAGATACTTTGCAGTATCATTAAATATTCTTTTTTTAACTCACTCTTAATGGCTACATAAAATGGTCATATTATTTGTTCAGTGAACCATACCTCAGCTGTTGAATACTTAGATTGTTTCTAATTACTTATATCAGTAATGCTGAGCTACATATACTTACGCAAACCTTTGTTCAAATCTCTGATTATTTCATTAGGGAACTTTTTTTTAAGTGGAAATAGTCACTCAAATGTATCAACTTATCTTAAAGTTTTTGATCTCAAATTACTTTCCCGGAGACTGTTTCCTTGTACACACTCTCCAACTATTTATGTGTACCCTGTTAATCTTTTACTTAATTTAATTATCTTTTGCCTGTTTTTCATTAGAGCTTAAGTGTTTTTCTTCTTTATTTCAAAGAGCTCTTTACATATTAGACATATAACCCTCTGTTACAATATGACAAATATGTCTCAATTTATTTTGTTTACCTCTTAATTTTGTTTATGTTTTCAATTGCGTGTCCTCAACACTATAATGATTTTCTTTTGTGATTTCTTCCATTACTTTTATGCCTAGAAACGGATCCAGTTAGATGTCTTTTATGGTTTTAATTTTTTTCTCTATATCTCTAATCAAACTGGAAATGATTTTGGTGTATAGTGTGAGATAAGGCTCTAACCTGAACATTTTCCCAAATAGCCACCTTCACAACACTGTTTATTGAAAAATCTATCCCTTACTTCTGTTGGTTGTGGTACTTTGTAATAAGCAGGAATCGTGGGCAGATATGGAATTCCTGAAAGTCATTCCTCATTCCCTTGCCTTTTGCTTGTAAATGATAATGTCAAAGCTGACGTCGTGCTGGGGTCATACTCAGAGGCACCAATTTCCCTTGACACTGACCAGCAGCTCACATAGAGCAAAGATGACACTTATATTGTGAAAGAGAAAATGTCAAGGAAACAGTGTTTACCAATTAGATAGCTTAGGGCTGATATTGCAGAATCCAGAAAGTTCCTAAGAGCTTTCAGTTGAAACCAGCCACTTGTTTCAGCAAACACTTTTAGATCTGTTGCACCCTAAGGCAAACAAAAAATCCTCCGACTTAAGCCAAGATAAATGCAAAAATAAGGCAATGTATGTTTCCCTTCTTGCTTCCCTTTTGGTTTTCAAAATATGGAGGATTATGACCTTATAGGGCTGTACATTTACTTTAAAATACTGGATTTTGAGTACAGTTATAGCCTTCTTCACACAAGTAAGATTTTCCGTTTGTTTTGTCAAGTGACACAGCCACCTGGTAAACCTCCATTCTCTGGTTTTTAACTCACTGCAGGGCATGACCCCCCTGATGTACGCCTGCGTCCGCGGGGACGAGGCAATGGTTCAGATGCTGCTGGATGCCGGAGCTGACCTGAATGTGGAGGTGAGGGTGCAGAGGGCTGCAGGGCCCCTGGGCCTGGCAGTCCCTCGGGAAGGCGAGCAAAGAGAGGGGGGCTTTATCTCCCAAAGAGCCACCACTGAGGGTGCTCAGTCCAGCAAATAGGTCAGACCAGCTTTTGGATTTCCTCCATCCTGAGGCCCCAGCCCAACCAAACTCCAAGGAGCTGCCCCAAAACATTTTTCATTTAAAAACAACCAACGAGGCCACAAGGAGCCCTAGCTTTTCCCTCAGTTCAGCTGTACCCAATCTCTGATTCTTCTTGCTGATCCATTCCTTCTGGGGTCGGGAAGAGAGAGCTCTCCTGAGCCATCAGCCCTTTCCTCTGCCAAATACAAAGTTGGTCCACGTACCCTGAGCTCAGGTGTAGCTCCCCCAGATCTTCCACCCTCCCCCACCGAATCCCGATTGGCTCACCCAGTTGGCCGGTTTAAACCACAGGTCTTAAAGCTAATTGCAAAGCTTCCATGAGGCAGTGTGGTATAGTGGAAAGCACACTCCCCGCAGGCTTTAGAATTTGACACCTGGATTCAAATTCTGAAACTGCTGCATCTTAGTAACTTGCTTTTCTGCTTGGGCAAATAGTTTAACCTTCCTGAGCTTCGGTGTTCCCCTTTGCAAAATGGGAGAACAATTGCACCCATCTCAGAGAGTTGTTGGAAGAAATAAGTACAGAGTAGCATCAATTTAGGACTCAGTTATTATTGGTTCCTGCCCCCGCCAAGGCTTATAATAGGTAAAATTACACTTTTTGACCATGTTCTACGCTGACTTAAGACCCACTCTCACAAAAAAAAAAAAAAAAAAAAGACCCACTCTCTTCCGGCAGCCTAATATTGGCAGTCTCAGAAGCTGAGAAGATCGATTGACATGCTGCACTCCTAACTCAGCCACCCCAGGAAACTTTTTTTAGTTCAAAATTAGATGCTCTTGTAGTCTTAGTACTGTGGTTAAAAAAAAATAAAGCATGCTTTATATTCATCTGAGGAAAGCAGGCAATAGACATGGTTTTGGATCCAGAACCATTTTGGATCTTATAAACTTCAGGTATTGGGGATTTTTTTTCCTGCTATGAATCCCCCAAGCACTGTGCACATCCCTGCAAAGGCTCGCCAACTTTGGGTCCTGGTGGGGTTCTCTGGTCCTCTAGCCCATCCCACAGCTCCCAGCTCAAGGTCCTCCCCCCGCCGGTGATTAATGAAATCAACTGCTATGAAAGCAGCAGGCATCGTGGCTATATGGCCCCAGGAATGTTTGGAAGAAAAGCCATGTGTAGGTGGCAATCCTGCAGGACCCTAACCTTTAGCTGTCCTGCAGCCTCTCTCTTGGCCTGGGGTGTTTTGAGGTCCCCATATGGGAAGGCCAGTATCAGATTGCTCATTCGTGGTGTGCCCAGGGAAGGTTTGTGCCTAGGTTTCCAGTAGCATGAGGGTCCTTGTCAACCAGGAAGCCAGCAGAAGAATGAAGTGAGGACAGTGTGGGGTGAGCTGTGACCAGATGGTGATATCCTCCATCAGAAGGCTGGTGGTATTGCTTGGCTTGAAAGCTCGAAGCAGACCTCCCCTTGCACGGGGTTTGCCACTGCCAAGAATTTCCCCTAAAGATGTGGATGTGATGGTAGTGGCCTCACACTACCTGACATCCTGTAGCTCTCAGAAGCATCACCCTCCCTTAAGCAGGAAGAGGAAACAGGCAGGGGAGCAGGCTCATTGTAGCCACCATTACAGCTTCTCCAAGGCTCCTTAGAGGTGGTCAGAAATCATCCATTCAACTCTTTTCAGATGAGAAGCAAAGGAGTCCTTATTGCGACGGAGGATATAAAGTCACTACCCCACATCTCCAGTGTTTCCCGAGGCGCCTTCTAGGACGTCCTTTTGTACATATCTGGCCCACATGCCCAGCCACAGATAGGTCAGATTTGCTGGTCTAAGTATTGTGAAGGTCACATTTTGAAAATAACTTCAATTTGTTTATAGGTTGTCAGTACTCCTCATAAATATCCATCCGTCCACCCTGAGACCCGCCATTGGACGGCTCTGACTTTTGCTGTGTTGCATGGACATATTCCTGTAGTTCAGGTATTAACATATTTCCCTATCCACATCTGACCTTTAATTTTACCTCTTTCATGCAAATTTGTACCTCTCCCAGCATGCCTATTCCCTAAGAGATTCATATTGGTTAATTGCAGTTAAATATAGCACATTCATATCATATGAATGAAAATATTATATGTAATGCTCTATATGGCCTGGCTCTAACCAATATGAACTTAACACATACCCACATGCAGCCTCACACGCAGAGTGGCAAACTTATCAAGTTGTTCCCAGTTGCTCGGGGGTGGGGCCTGAGCTGTGATTTTGTGGATTTGTTCATTTTTGCTTGTTGTAACATGAACGTAAGACCTGGCTGGTGTGAGACCTTAGAACCTTCCCTTAGGTGTGACCCCAGTGTTTGCATAGAGTCTAGTGGTTTCCAACCACTGGAAAGAAACATCCAGGTCTCCAAGGGAGTGGTTCCAAAAGATACTTGCTTGGATCCCACTTATGGAGAAGCCCATCCGAGAGGTCTAGAGTAGGGTCTTCACATGTGTCTTCTGAAACAGCTCCCCGAGTATGTCCGCATCTGAGGTCCTTTGGGCACGTAAGTGTGTTTTGCCTGCACCTTCTCTGGCTGTTGTAGAGTTGGTGTTCGATGAATACCCATCTAGTATATTCTAGATCTTAAGCTCGGTTTATTCTAGATCTTAAAACTTTACTTCATTGGAAAAAAGAGATCAGCATCCAGGTCCCTGACCACATCTGACCCCCTAATAAACGCTGAGCTTTGGGTACATCGGGAACTCACCTCCTTTTACGTGGTCCAAGCCTCTTAGAAGTATGCAGAGCAGAAAATAGTGTGCTAGGGACCCCTAGGCAATGTTGGAGTGCCACAGGAATCCTTCGTTGTTTCCTAGGTCGTGGGAATCCTTAAGACAGATCCGAAGTCATGTTTCAGGAGGTTGAGTGTGTGACATGTCACACCGAGAGCTGGCTTCTGCCTGTAGAATGTCATGACCAGCCCACTCCTAGTGGAGGGATCTAAGAAAGGAGGGGTCAGAGGGTGGCCTAGTGGACACCAATGCCATCCCTTAACATGCAGTGGAATCCCCAGCCTTTAAATCAGGAATAGGAGCAGTGGGTAGCCAAGCAAAGCCAAACAGAAGTCAGGTCACCTCTGTGCAGCAGGTGCACACATCATGGGATGCCAGGTAGGCAGCCCCTTCCTGGCTGTGCCCTCAGGTAGCCCTGAACAGGTAAGACAGATGTTTCCCCCTCATTGTACATCAGCAGTGCTGACAGCACGTTCACTGTGAGATCCGGCATGGACAGCATCTCTGTGTTTAGGAAGCCCAGATCTCTCAGAGATGCACAGAATGGAATCATATTCAGCAGCGCTCTTGGAAGCTCACTCTGCCACTTTACTCACTGATCTTCCTGGCCAGAAAACTCAGCATCTGCTGAGCTGTCCTCAGAGCCCTCCAGGATGTTCTAGAAGTGATTCTTATCCTGGTTGGCCCTGGTGGTCCCCGAAGAGTTCTTCAGAACTCTTGCGTTGCTATGGCTCTAAGAGACCCCACTAATACTCTCCGAGGCTTTGTGTCACCGACCCCGAAAGGAAGTCCTCCAACCCTCTGGTGCCACGAGCTTCTAGCTCAGTGCTTCTAGAAACTTCTAATGTACATATAAATCACTTGGAGAACTTGCTGAAGTGCAGATTCCCATCATTCGGTCTGGGGTGGAGCCTCAGAGCCAGCATTTCAAACAAGCTCCCAGGGGATGCCGATGCTACTGTCCGTGGACCACAATTTGAGTGATCTGAGGCTCTAGAAGATACGAGAGGCTCTCGGTTTTTCCTCTGAGGTGCAATTGCCCTCCCCCGTGCACATGCTCACAGACCCAGAGGGAGGGCAGGAACACTGACATCACACTGATTTCCACCACCTTTTCCTGACGTCCCCTCGCATGCATGTCCTTTAAACATCTCAATGGCCACTCTTCCTCCGCAGCTCCTCCTGGACGCTGGGGCCAAGGTGGAGGGCTCTGTGGAGCATGGCGAGGAGAACTATTCAGAAACGCCCCTCCAGCTCGCAGCCGCCGTAGGTAAGAGTTGCTGATGCTCACGCCGGCCAAGGGGCTCCAGCGCGCTGGCCCTTGATGTGTCTGTGACTGTGTGTTTGCTTGATTCTCTTATAAAACCCCCTTCTCTGGGCTTGCAGGAAATTTTGAGCTGGTTAGTTTGCTGTTGGAGCGTGGCGCGGACCCCCTGATAGGAACCATGTACAGGAATGGAATTTCTACCACCCCCCAGGGTGATATGAACTCTTTCAGCCAGGCCGCAGCCCACGGACACAGGTAGGCTAGGACGGCCCAAAGCCACGAGGTCCCAAGTGGTGCTTGTTAAAAATGTAGATTCCCAAGCCTACCCCAGACCCACTGTATCTCTGGATGTGGGACCCAGAGGCAGACCAGTCCTGGCCAGCCAGCTTCATGCAGCACACGTCCACTCAGACTGGCTTGTCTGGTCCTTTCCCAACCGGCTTTCCTATCACAGAGACGTCACTCTCTGCCAGGGTTGGTCAGCACTCATCCTATCACCTGTCGTGAAGTGAGAAGAATCCATTTTAAAGAATCGTAAAACCTCTCATGTTTGGTTACCTCCTGTCTACATTTCCTTCAGGATTTACCCCATCAGATTTTACTACACGTAACCCCAAGTGAAGCAAATTCACTATGGGGGGGGGGGAACCGCAGGCAGACGGTTCTAGAACCTTCTAGATATTTGGGGAATGCACTTAGCTCCAAGTTGTCCTCAAGGAAACACAGCCAGACCTGCCCCACCATCTCTTCCATCCACCAAACGTAGCACCTGTGGTCAGGCCTCTGAAACCGCCACCCCGGAGTTGGTCCCGTCCTTCCCTTGTCCCAAGTGAGAGGTCTCCCCACGTCCCCTGCCTAGTCCCTGCCCTGGCTCAGCCCTTCCATCTCTGAGTGTCTTCATCTCTGGGTTTATGATTGACAGGAATGTGTTCCGCAAACTGCTCGCTCAGCCAGAGAAGGAGAAGAGTGATATCCTGTCCCTGGAGGAGATTCTGGCCGAGGGGACAGACCTGGCGGAGACAACCCCGCCCCCCCTGTGTGCCAGCCGCAACAGCAAGGCCAAACTCAGAGCCCTGAGGGAGGCCATGTATCACAGCGCTGAGCATGGCTACGTGGATGTCACAATTGATATCAGGAGCATAGGTCAGTCTGGGGACCCTCCAAGGCTGGGCACAGAGCCTTTGCCCAGCTCCAGGTCACACGCACACACACACGCACGCACGCACGCACACACACCCCACGCAGCCCAGGGAACTTCTCATTTGCTGGTTGGAGCACTTCCAGGCTAAGTTCCCACACCATCCCCATAGACAGCAGCATCCTGCCAGCCCCGAAGTCCCATCCTCAGGTCACCTTTCCACGATTCCCAAACTCTGGACCCTGAGTTAGAAATTTGAATCACCTGGGGAGCTTGTCTGAATACAGATTGCCAGGCCCTACACCCAGAGGCTCTGCTTTCAAGGGTCTGGATGGATAAAGGCTGGAAATCTTTATATTTAACAATCATCCCAGGTGGTTCCCAGTGGTTGGGGAATCGCTGCCTGAGAGCCCCCAAATCCATGAAGCGGCCGCCGGCACCAGCTAGGATGAGGGCATCTCTTCCCTAGCAAGGCTGCACCCACTTCAGGGGCAAAGCCACCCTCGGGCAAAGTTAGGGGTGGCTCTCCCTTGAGTGAGCTATGCCGGAGCCATCTCCTCCGTGCGTCTGGGGAACAGGCTGGCCTGGCCTTCACCCCTCTAATGGCGCTAGCCCCGGCCCAGACACAGCAGGATGGAGCACGGGCTGCAAACACAGGCTGTGGCAGCTCAGGGTAGGCTGAGGCCCCAAGGAGGGGCCCCCGGTGCTGTTCTGGAAACTGGTCTCTCTTGGAGGGTGGCCGTTGAGTGTGGCGGACGTTTATGCCATCGCCCTGGGAGCCTGTGACGCTTGATTCTGAAGCTCAAGACCCTGAATCGTGTGCTTGTTATAAACAGTAGCGAGTGCCTCAGTCTCACAGTGAGGGGGGAGAAGCAAATCACAGCGATCAGCTGCTGGAGAGGCTTCTGTCCAGGGAGAGAGAACTGATGAAGTGCCTGCAGGTGGAAATGTCGTTTTGCACATGGGGGCGGCAGCAGCATCCTCCCGTGTCTTCACATTCAGATGGAAATACCTGCCCTGACCAGAGCAGCGGATGGTGAGGTTTCACCACCTCTAAGCTCTGGGCACGGATGTAGAGGGGATGGAGACGAAGGAAGTCAGAACTCAGAAGGATGGGATCTGCATAAAGAGTGTGCATTAGAATTCCAATATTCTACACAAGAATTATACCTTGTAAAATGCAGCCCCTAATAACGTGAGTAGCGTGCAGACCTAAACACCCATAGTTAAGGGAATCGAATTACGACCTTTAATTTCAACTTCTGCGGGTCTTTGGGGGGGAAAAAAAAGCAACACTGGCTCTATTCATTGAAAGGCAGGCTCTTGGTCTCATGATGTGGTAATGTCCCCCGGAAAGGCCAGCTTCCAGATAAAAACACGCCTTCTCCTCTGGTTGTTTTCTGCCCTCCCCTCCCCTCCCCCACCTGCCCCCTTTCCAGGTGTCCCGTGGACCCTGCACACCTGGCTGGAGTCTTTGCGGATCGCCTTCCAGCAGCACCGCCGGCCTCTCATTCAGTGCCTGTTGAAGGAGTTTAAGACCATTCAGGAGGAAGAGTACACGGAGGAGCTCGTCACCCAGGGCCTGCCCCTCATGTTCGAGATCTTGAAAGCCAGCAAGGTACGAGGGCTTAATGCCGTTGTGCTTGTGGGCAGAGAGAAAGGCTGGGGGCTCTGATCTCCATGCTCCCTGAGCCTGACCCTGTCCCACGGCGGGGGGGGGGGGGGGGGTGGCTGCCTGCAGTCACAGCGCTGGCACAAATGTACCCCAGCTGGTTACAGCTATTTGTAGAGCCTTTCATGGGGCAGCCGCTTTACTGAACACCTGTTATGTCCCAAGGCACTTGGGCACGTGGGACAAAGTAAAAGATACCTTCCAGCCTGGGGAATTTGCATGAAAGCTGGGGAGCTAAAGCCCACCCATGGGCCCCAAGGACATCTGAGGTGGTTTGTGAAACAATGTTAAATTGGGTGGCACAGGCTCTGAGGGGTGTGAGATGCTCAGGGAAGGCGTCACTGAGGCGCTGAGACCAGGGCAGGCCTGGATGGACATTAGGAACCCAGCAGGAAGAGAGAAATGGGTGTAGCTCTCTAGGTCGACAGGATGCAGACCTGCCAAGGTCCCTGGAAAGCCAGGCCCTGAGAAGACTTTTCAGGTCTGAGGATCGCATGAGCCTAGCGCTTGAGGCTCACGCCTTCCTCAAGGGCCTCTGAATTCCTGCTGGCACTATGTTCCCAGCAACGGGGAAATGCCGCAACCCCTTCACAACAGGCTGTGCAGGACCCGGGGGTCCTAAGATAGTGGGAGCCTGTGAAGTGTCAGGGAAGTAGGCAGGCCTCTGAACCAAAAGGGCAGCGTGGGTTCCCCTGCCAGGCTTGGCCAACAAGCTGTCACGAGTGGAGAGGGGGAGCAGCCTTCTCCAGGTGGCAGGGATGGCCCTGCAGCAAAGCAGCAGCAGCAACACACCCAGCTGCTCCCTGAGCCTTGGAGCACCTGGCCTGGGGTCCAGAGCGGGTCCCATTAGGTATTCTCATTAGCACCAGAGTCTCAGCCTCTGGGGGCTGGATTTGTGCTTGATGTCAGGCCCCACTGAGACCCAAAACGGGAGGAGGTGTGCCGGCCCTCGGGTAATGAGCCTCAGTGATTCCACAAAGAGCAAAACCTGCTGGAAGTATTTCAAAACCAAACTCTCCCTGCCCCTCACCCCGCAACTTGAAAAATAAATAAATAAGGCCTGAAACTACCTAAGAAACCACCTTAGTGAAAAATCATTGCTAGGTCTGTTCCCAGGGTCTTGGTGTTCTAATTGGTTTTTGGTTTGGTTTTGTTTTTTTCTCTTCTACGGGCTGTAGTGGGAGTTCCAGAAATTACTAAGGCATCCTATGTATTGAGGAAAGCTAATCTATGGATTTTTTAAAGTAAACTTCACTTTGAAGAATGAGATACATCAGAAAAGTGCCCAGATCGTAACTATAGATCCTAATGAATTTTCACAAGGTAAACTTACCTGTGTGGTCAGCACCCAGACTGAGAAACGGAACATTGCTAGCACGCCAGCAGGCCCCTTATACCCCACTCAGCCACCACCCAGAAAGGGCAGCCAACAGCCTCTGAAAGTAGCACCTGGAGGCCTGGAAGAAGCCAGGGGCCTTTGGCAGATGTAGACTAGAGCCTGCTCCCTGTCAGCTGTACTGATCTGGAGGGTGGGGGGAGCCAGGGATGGGGCAGGAGCAGCGTGTGGTCAGGAGCGGGGGGCAAGTCTGGGGAAAAGGGTGCTTTCAAGAGTCAAGTTTGCCCTTACGGTGGGGGGGGGGGGGTCAATGGTAACCCCTACTGGTGAGATGTGGTATTACACCACCATGTACACTGACCACAGGGGACAAAGAGGTGATCAATTTCCCTTGGCTGCCGGGGCAAGTCAAGCAGTCCCCAAACATGGTGATGTTCCTGGGGTCAAAAGATGTCTAGAGAGAGATGGTGGCAGAGAAGTTCAGAGAGTTGAGAAAGTGCTGCAAAGCTCTGCCTTCAGAAAGTGTCCTATTGGAGGAAAGGAGTAGCCATGCATCACACAACTAGCTAGCATTGTCCCTTCTCCCTCCATTAACGGATTCCTGTTCAAATCATGTCTGCTGTTCTGTGGGCACAAATACCTGGTTCTATCAGAGTAGTGGGTAAGAATATAGAATTCCTGTAAATAAATCCACTTTATGGTCAACTCACAGAAATACAGCCATCCTGTAAAGTGAGGCGATGCCTTCTCCGCATCCGTGACTCTTGCTCGGTCAAACGTTACTTGAAATCTAGTTGCAGATGTGCTTTTTTGCCCCCAGTTATAAATTTTATCTTTAAAAGGGTTCAGTGTCTCTAGAGTTCCCCAGGAGTAGAACAATACAGTCATTTTTTAAAATACATCTATTTAAAGAGAGCTCCTGGCCCGTTTCTCCCACACATAGCTCCTCTGGACATTTATTCATTCTGTAGTCATGAGTGCCTCCTAGGCTACAGGGGTGACAGGACCTTCTTTACCTTCTTTATGGAACTTACTGTGGCCAGGGGAGGGGCAGACACATAGTACGCAAGGAAATACGTCAGCAAAAGAGAGTGAGAGCATGATAAATGCTATGAAAAAAATGAACTTGGACAACGCTGTAGTCTCTGGTGCAAGGTCTAATTTAGAGAGGATGGTAAGAAAAGTCTCCCAGAGGAGGGAGCATGTGAACAACCACCTAAGTGAGGAAAAGCTTCCAGCCACGCAGAGGTCTGGAGGGAAAGCATTCCAAGTGGGGGAACTGCAGGAGCTCAGGCTCCAGGTGGGAACGTGCTTGATGTGCTGGGGCAGCAGGAAGCTGCGGGACACAGGAGAAAGTGTAGGAGATGAAATCAAATGGCATGGAGCCTTTCTCAGAACATGGTGGACATTTGGGGTTTCTCTCCACGTGAACTGAATAGAACAACGCTGGAGGCTAAAGCCTCCAGCGTTGTTCTATTCAGTTCACGTGGAGAGAAAAAAAAGACAAAACACATAGCTCATGTCCAGGGTGAGACATAAGCTATGTGTTTTGGGTTTTTTTTTCCTTGTGGTTTATACACGTTTTTAGGGGGTTTTCCCACTGTTTTAAAATTGAGTTTTGTAAATTAAACTTTTTATTTTGAGACAATTGTAGAGTCATATGCAGTTGTAGGAAAACATACAGAGAGATACTTCATTTCCCCCATGGGCAATATCTTGCAAAATGACAGTTAAATATCACAACCAAGATATTGACATGATACAGTGAACATGCAGAAAACTCCCATCACCATAAGGACCCCTCATGTTGCCCTTCTACAGCCACACCCGTATCTCTTCTGCCCTCACTCCCTCCTTATGCCCCGGTAACCACTAATCCGGTCTCCATTTCTCTAATTTTGTCATTTCAAGAATGTGATTTAAATGGAATCATACAGTATGTAACTTTTTAGGATTGGATTTTCTCACTCAGCATAATTCTCTGAAGATTCTTCCAGGTCGTTGCATGTGTTGATAGTTAGATTCTTTCTATTGCTGACTAGTACTCTGTGGTATGGACAGATCACAGTTTATTAACCACTCACCACTGAAGGACATCTGAGTTGTTTCCAGTGCTGAGCTATTACAAATAAAGCTGTTTAAACATTCCTGCACAGGTTTTTGATATGAATATAAGTCTTCATTTCTCTGGGATAAATGCTCAGGAGTGCAACTGCTGGATTGTATGGAAGTTGCATGTTTAGTTTTTAAAGAAACTGCTAAACTGGTTTTGAGAGTGGCTGCACCATTTTATATTCCCACCAGCAAAGTATGGGTAATGAAGTTTCTCCACATCCTCCCTGTTTGATGCTACTGCTATTTTTTATATTAGCCATTCTGGTAGATGTATAAGTGGTATCTCATTGTGGTTTTAATTTGCATTTCCCTAAATGGCTAATGATGTTGAACATATTTTCATGTGTTTATTTGCCATCTGTATATCCTCTTCAGTGAAATGTCTCTTTGTGTCTTTTGCCCGTGTTCTAATTAAATTGTTTGGTTTTTCACTGTTGAATTTTGAGAGTTCTTTGTAAATTCTAGAAAATAGTCTTTTGTCAGATACATGGTTTGCAAATACTTTCTCCCACTCTGCAGCTTGTCTTCTTATCCTCTTAACAGGGTCTTTCATGGAGCTTCCATTTCGAGGAAGTCCAGTTTAAGTTTTTCCTTTTATGGAGCTTATGCTTTTGATGACAAGTATTAGAATGCTTTGCCTAGCCCTAAATCATGAAGATTTCCTCCTGCATTTTTCTCCTAGAACTTTTATAGTTTTCTGTTTTACGCTGAAGTCTGTGATTCATTTTCATTTTGAGTTAATTTTTGTATGAAATGCAGAACTCAGAGCAAAGTTGTTTTGTTTTTGTTTTGCCAGTGGATGTTCAATTGCTCCAGCACCATTTGTTGAAAAGACTATCTCTCTTTCATCAAATTACTATTGCAACTTTGTCAAGTCAGTTGGGCATATTTGTGTGGGTCTGTTTCTGAGTTTTCCATTCTGTTCCATTGATCTATGTGTCTGTCCCTCCACCATTACCACACAGTCTTAATTACTATAGCTATAAAATAAATCTTGAAATTGGGTAAATTTGTTCCTTCCATTTTATTCTTCTTTCACAAAATGAATTTAGCTATGTTAGTTCTTTGCCTTTCCATATAAATTTTGGAACAAATTTGCTATATGAACAACAACAGAAATCTTGCTGAGACTGATAGGAATTGTGTTAAACCTCTATATCAGTTTAGGGAGAATTGACATCTTTTCTATGTTAAGTCTTTCAATCCATGAACGTGTTAGTCTCTTGGTGTCTTTAGATCTTCTTTGATTTCTTTCATCAATATTGTGAGTTTTCAGGGTACAAGTCCTGGACATGTTTTTTTCTCTTTTTTTTTGCTGTACGTGGGCCTCTCACTGTTGTGGCCTCTCCCGTGGCGGAGGCAGAGCACAGGCTCCGGACCCGCAGGCCCAGCGGCCATGGCTCACGGGCCTAGCCGCTCCGCGGTATGTGGGATCCTCCCGGACTGGGGCACGAACCCATGTCCCCTGCATCGGCAGGCGGACTCTCAACCACTG